CGAAAATGACAGTCTCGTGAGTCGTCTCTCCGTATGTACAGATGGCATCAAGGACATGCGTGGGAACTTCACTGCCAAACCATCCGAGGATGCGGCCTGACGAGTCGTACGCCATGCCACCGATCCCAGAGTAGCCGTCGTAATCAAACGAAGCGTCCACATACACATGGACCACAGAACTCCAAGTAGCAGCGACCCGGCGTGGCCGCCCATGCTCAAACAAGTTCAGAAGCACTTGCATCGATTGTAGCATCTGCTCTCGGCTAGCTCGAGGCTCCTCAGTGAGAGCGCCTAACAATCATATCCAAATGCTTGCTTGCACTTTCCCAACTGCTGGCAAGGAAGTCGTCAAAGTAGCAGCTCCAGATCAAGGATAGAAGGACACATCCGATCTTCCACAAACCATATGCGCAACGGATGAATCCAGTCACACTGGCCTTCGATCCAAAAGGCAGGACTCGCTGCTTGTACACCTTTGGCTTTTTGCTCCTTGGACAGAACACTGCTATGTAGCTGTCAAGCTCAAAAGCAGAATCACTCAACGGCAATTGTTTGTAAGCCGTCTTAAGATCCCAAGCTTTGCTGACCATCTCTTTCTTCACTTTGGCCTTGACGCAAGCCTGAAGCCAATAGCCCAAAGTTCCAGCGATGACATCGACCGTGTGCACAGGCACCTGTTCGGTTTGAGATACCACGCTGTTCACCTCCGAACTTTTGTAATTGTCGATTGGTCTCACTTTGGGATTCCCGTCAGAGTCAATGCCTTGAATGACACCGAAGCGATGCGTCAGTGTTGCGCCCATTGGCAACTGCTCCGGATCCACCGGTCCTTCCAAGTAGCCAAGGTCGAGCTCCTTCTGCGTGGCCGCAAAGACTCCGTCATCGATGACAGGATCACCAGAACTTTGGACCATTGCAAGAACCGCAGCCCGAGACCTTGACGCCCCCGCTCGCAGCTCTTCCTCAGTCTTAAGTGCAGGACGATACCGGTGGTCGAACACATGTGACTCGGGAAGCTTGCCCACCAGATCAAAGCCATTGCTCATGTCGTGCACCAAGTTATCATCTGCATGACCAGCCTCCTCGAGGATGGACTTGAAGAGCAACAGCCGCTTGCCTTCAAGGACTTTACGTCGATGCTCCGAAAAACCTTCGTGAAGCTCACGCTCAGCATCGACAAGGCCATTGGACATGCTGATGAACCGCCTCATCGTTGCAGTGCGCTCGCGCGCAATGTCAGCCGCATCTTTGCTCATGTTTGCCTTGATCGATGCCTTGAGCTCATCCGGGAGCAAGTTATCCAAGTGGCAGGGATGCTTTGACTGAAGCGCCTGATTCACGAAGTCCTGAGGTTCATGATAAACTCCGAAGACAACCTTAGATGTATTCCCGCGGCTCGAAGACAGCGCCTCAGAAACATTCGAACTTCCTGCATCCCCAGGGGACCTAAGGGGGACAGGGAGCCTAAACCCCAAACCTAGAAGGTAGGCTCGGTCGGCTGCAGATAGCCACTCCAAGTTCCGAGGCAGATATGCAAGCAGGGCATGCCGATGCCCCGTCCACTTTTGTGTCTCATGCCACTTACGAGGGTCGAAGAAAACTGGGCCTGCACTCGGATCGAGAATTTTGCCACGGACGTCTCGCCCATTAATGTTCTTACAGACATCGCCCGAAGCATCCTCAACCCAAACACCGCCCCCCTCCCCGTCACAAGGCTTCAACAAAACAACCATGTTCCAAGACGAAGCCTCGTTGTGGCTGTCTTTGTGAACAGCCGTAAAGACGTCACGATTGTAAGTGACCGCACCGAACTCAAGGGACGGCGCGATCTTTCGCACAAAAGCACACATCTGCTCAATGACTTGGGGATGAAGCTTTGTGGCCTGCAAGACCCCGGCGACACCGCCATGCACAAATGCTCCACCTGTCACACATACTGATGACGAGCAGGCCTCACCGCGACTGGGGCTCATTCCTTTAGTTTTAGATAAGCACTCAAGAAGAGACTCGGCTGAAACCTCAACAACGGGATCGCACTCAGCACCACCCCGCGCAAAATGAGTGCGAATGACCTTACTTCCCGCCGGAACACTGGAGACCACAGGTTTTGCAGAACATGACGACGGCACCGACCACGGTGCTTGCAACTTCGACTTGGACAAAGACAAGTTTGCCAAGACGTCGCATGGACCTTGCACGGAGAGGACCTGACGAAACTCGGGAACCAAAGGCGGGACTCGTTTCTTCAATTGATGACCAGTCAAGCTCCGAGCGCCCACAACAGAAGGGGCTGCATCACTAAGTTTACATGGCTCCGGGACTGCCCCGAAGTGGCACATGAAATCATGAAGCAAATCAGCCATGTTTCGCCCCAAGGGCCAAGCTTCGTTCACATTATCAGGCTGGGCATGCGAATGCCAAGGCTCATGAGTATGCTTGTTGTCGCATCGACTTTCAAGAAAATCAAAAGGCACAACATTGGACATCAAGACAAGGGACTGCTTGAGGCATCCTCCATGCATGCACAAATCAAACTCAACTCGGCGGAGCGACGCGGAGGCCTCGGCTTTGACCCAAGTGGGGAGCTTCCAAAATGGGCTCCGCACTGGATTCATGACACTGAAGAGAATTCCCGATGAATCACATAACTTGCATATGCGGCTTATGAAAAGGGCCAGCTGCTCCACAGCTGGAGAGGCTGAACGAAAAACATCTTGTGCGTAGGAGATACATGAACATAGACGACCATGGCCTCCTGAAGAATGCTCAAAACATGACGTTGACCCGTCTCGGAAGTCAAGTCCAAACGAATGGTTGGGCAGCCGGCATTAGACGACCTGACCTGTACACCAAAAGAATCTTTCGCGCCAAGCCTGCGCAAACCCGAAATGATGAACCCTCGATTGCAGAAAAGCTCCAGACCGAAAAGATGCCTAACGGGTTTACCCGCAACTCTCAACCTGAAGCGCTGCAAAAAGTGCTGAGGGCTCGAGGCCCTCGACGGTGACTGTCACGAACGATGCTCCTGAAGCGAGTGTGCTTTGAGGCAGTTGGGCTCGGCGCAAAGGTGCCAACCGCGCTCACACTTCTCACCTGCTTTTGCCTTGTCACATCCGCCTGGGAGATTGAACGCCCAGCACAGACGCTCGCCTTCTCGCGTTTGGTACCATTTACCAATCAAAAGCTTGGGCACACGCAACTTATCATTCTTGCCTTTGCCTCCACCTTTGTTGCCACCGCCTTTGGAGTTTTGACGGCCCTGACCAGGATTTCCCTGGTCCGCATTCTCATGCTGCCGCTTTGTTCCCCTGTTGTCAAGGACATTCCAAGTTGGCTTGGGGGGCTTCTCAACCTCAGGCAGGGCAAGCGGAAGAAGATGAAAAGATACAGCAGGATCTGACAACACGTGAGGCAGCAAAGCATCTAACGGAATGGATCCGTCCGCCTGGCGCTTAATCGTTCTGAGCTGTTCTGCCAAGTGGAAAAATGCAGCACGATCAGTTCTCAAGACCTGATGCACAGACACTTTAGCGTACTTAGGCGGGGGCAAGTCCTGCATGCGTTGCACAAGGGCCCCATGATATCGATTCATAATATCATAGGTGCAAACACCAACCAGATCAAAGGCCAGTGCCCTGCGGCGTAGAGCCTGAACCAGCTCAAGTTCCCCCGATGTTGGGCACGTCAAAGAAGTCTGCTTCTCCTTGATGTTCAGAGCGCCGCTTCCATCAAGCACAACCTGTTTGTTGGGCTTCTGCGACGAGAGCTCCTGGCGTCTCGTTGTGAATTTCTCCGGATGTATGTAGACAAGCGCATCCCTCTGCAACATCGCGTAGACGAGGTTGTATGACTCGTAGGAAGGCTCTTCGACTCCAGAGTGCATCAATCCAGTAATCCGCGCCTTCTGACGAGCCATTCGACTCTCACGCTCAGCATGACTCATGCTACCAACTGAAGCGTCTTCTCCTTTTTCCACTCGACCCTTCAAATCGGCAATGAGCAGAGTATGAGCCTCGAAGATCAACCTCCTCGTAGAAGCAACCGTGCCTGCAGTTGTTGCGGCTCCCCCGAAGAGGTCTTGAACTTGGGCGTCACTTGGGTTCTGTCCTGGCCCAACGGCAGCAAAGGCTATGCGAGCCAGCGTGTCAATACCTCGCCCTGTCAAGGCAGTGACTTCAGCATTGGTAAGGCCGACTTCGGCCGCACGGGCCGCAAAAGCCGCCCTAGACTCTGTAAGCGAAGCCATCGCACCAGGTTGGACTTAGAATCTTCGGCCACCTGCCGACTACCAGCACTTGCCACAGCCTCCGGCCACCTGCCGCTGCGGTCTTTTTCTGTCCGACTGTTGAAATTCAGAACAGCATCACATAACGTGCCACTTGAGATGACGTTCACTTTCTTGAGCTGCACACTTGCGCAGGCACCACACTTGACACAAACTTGGAAGCACGCAAAGGACTTCAGATTCATGCTCACTTGAAACACCTCCATCTCTCTATCAAGAATCGGACCTTGGCTCCACTTTGCCCACGCTTGTACGTATGGTCCTCAGTCTTGAACGCGCGCCTCCAGCGCACGCAGCAAACTGCCCGTGTCTCTCAGGGGCTTCCCGGCTGCACACTGTTTACATGTCCTCAAATCTCTGAAAGCCGATGCTTCAATCAGCTCATAGTCCTGAGTAACCTTTCGGCCACAAACAAAAACCTCGGAAGAACTGCCAGCACTGCGATGATGAATCGTGAGGCTTTTCTTGTGCCTGTACATAGACACTTCTGGGCTCCAGCTCTCACTCGCCTTGGTTGCCTGACACTTGAAACCCTCTCCCCTAGTCCAGCTGTCATCCTCGAACTCCGAGGCGGTCTCGCTCGAGCTCGATGAAGACGATGATTCATCGCCGCCATCTTCAGCCTGGGGTTCCTCCAGGCTAACACCACCCAGTTCGCCGTGGGACTTGCTTGGACTGTCAGGGCAAGAAAGACCTTCACGCTCAGGCTCAAGAGTTTCGTTGATCAAAGAAAACGAATTTCCTAGCTCATCCGAAGCGACTGCACTCTCTCCCGGAGACGCATCTCGGGGCGGCGCCTCCTCAAAAAGTGCGCCCTCCCTCGGGGGCGCAAACGCAAGCCTGGCTTTCTGAAGTGAATCTACCTCATCTTTGCTCACCTGAGAAGAATGGGACTGCTTGAAATGACCTGAGCGACTGACATCTGGCATGAAAATTCCATGACGTACTGCTTCAATCACCGTGATGTACTGACGTAGACCTGGCGCTAAGAAATCTCTGCCGTAGGTGTTCAAAGTGCCATCACCAGTTGAGTGATGCCCCAACTGCAACCGCGGATGTCTATCCATTCCGAACTTGCTGCACCAAGAAAGCGTAGTAGATTTCAGGGAGTGCGACGTAGCCTCGCTGCTGCTTCCGCTACCCTTAAGAAGCGCCTGCAACCAGCGTGTCATCTCCCCGGAAGTCACAGCCCTCTTACTCCATGCCCCTGCCTCAGTGGGCGCGGGAAGAAGCGGTCCTTTAGCTCGACCTTCAAGCCCAAGCCCAACCGCTTTGGCGACCTCAATGAACTTCAGGCCCCAGCTAACATTCCGGACTCCCATGATGGGAGCAATAAGCGGCATAGCTAAGCCTTGCTGTGCCACTTGCCGACTGCACTTGTGAGACCTGGTCTTGCACTCTATGAACCCAACCTGATTGCCGTCCACATTTGCGATGTCCAAAATGAAACCCTCGACCACGCGCAAGTCAGAGCACCTACTCCTAGAGTAAACCGCAAACAAGATGGCTCCTGCAGCATATCTGTCCATAAGGTCTCGCGACTCATCGTCGAGAACCATCTCTAAGTAGGTAACTTCCCCGACTGTGAGTACATCAGATTGATTGCGCTCAGCCCGCTCCAGGTCCTTCAGTCCAAGAAGACCAGCAGCCCACGGGCTCCACAAGCTTCGGCAGGAGACATGTATTTCGATACCTACCACAAAATGAGAAAAGTTTATGGCCTCTCGGAAACTATGCATGGCTGAGATCTTGGCATGGTTCGCTTGTAACCACTCCAAGTATTCGTCGAGCATCCAAGTCTTCAAAGGAAAAACTTCTTCTCCAGGAGCTACTTTATGCCACCGACATATGTATCCCAGCATGCTGTTTCCCCGTCTCTCGACAGTTGCCACACTCTTTTTCCCAAAGAGCTCTCTGATGCGCTTGGTGCCTTCGTCTGCAGGCAGCTTTGAGACTTTGACTCCAATCATGGAGCTGGACCAATTCTCTCCAAGGATGGTGTACCATTTCTCAAGAGCACGCGCCCACTTGTTTTGCTCCAACGTCTCGTCATCGAGAGCTTGCTTGAAATTGATGACTCGTCTGAAAATTTCCACGCCACACGGCTCAAGCTTTAGCCTCTTTGCAGGACGGGCTATTTTCTCAGCAGTACCTTGTGAGGCCCCTGGGGCCAGCACCGGAAAAGGAATCTCTGGGACTGCGAAATCAACGACCTTCGGATCACCAAAAATCAAAGCGAAGCCTCCACTCTCCCAAGGCAGCTTCAAACCTGATCCATGCTCTCCACTGATCATAGCAGCTTCGCCGATAGCAGCATGCAGCCTTGCTCGCTCTTCGTCAGAAATGGTGCTCCCCTCGGGAGCGCTGCCTTGTGACTGATCCACAATCCTCTCATCGAGGCTAGCAGGAAGAGGAAGGCTTGTTCCCAGAGACTCGCCGTCAATGCCTTTATTGGCCATACATGCACAGGAGAACACCCCCCGCGCCGAAAACTTTCAAGGAACCATTGCAAAAGAGGCTCCCACCCACCACACCCACTTGCTGAGCCAAATGTTTCAGATATGACTCAATGACATACTGAGTGAAACACATGGTTGTGAAAAAGGTGCGCCCTCAAATTTGTTGTAAAA